CTGCTGAACCGGGACGAGCAAGTGAGCGTGCCGATGAGGAGGAGCCCAACATCTGCGACGCTCAGCGATCGAAGCGTCGGACCCTGCAGCGGTTTTGAACGCTCGGTGGACGCGTTGATCAAGGTCATGCGGCTATGCCCGCCCCAGTGGATCCCAAAAAACCTGCGCAGTTCCCACTCGTAAGGAACCAGGGATTCGTCTATGGTTTTAGTCGAACTGGAACCACTGGGACGACCTCGTGGTTTGCCTGGATGCCTTGGGTGCGAACGAACCACCTGCCCTTTTTGGAAGCAAGGACAGGCGGCTTCAGTCAAGACCACCAAGGACAGGCCGCTGTTGTTCGTCGGTGCAAGTTGGCTGTTTGAAGTCAAGACCACCTGGTGGATCCTTCACGACGAGGCCCTTCTTTCACTCCTTGGTTGGACAGTCGGAAGAACTCGCCAATGCCGGAGTCACAGGGAGTATGCCATGGGTGGTTTTCGAGTCGTCCCATCCCAGAAACCCTGTGGATGCTTCCCCGACCTCCTCCCTTCCGCACCCCGTTCGGCACCCCCGTTCCGCCCGCGCCCTTCGGATCGATCGGGGAGTCAGACCTGGTCGGAACCCGATCCGAACGCTGCGCTTGGAACACAGCACCCACCTGAGTGCCATGCACGGAGAAGTCGTAGAGCCGTCGGTTCAAGTTGATGGACAGGGTGGAGCCTGGCAGAGCCAAGTGATCCAAGTCATCCACAGCCCCTTGCCTGCGCCCTTGCCTGCGCGAGTCCTGCTGCCGTTTAAAAACCCTTCTTCCACCCATCGGAACGAAGATGAACAGGTGAATTGGCCGGGTGAACGCCTCTTCGAGGAACTCGCCCAGGTTCCATCCTCGAACCGACCCCGCCGAAACCAAGGCCGTGCGCCTGATCTGGCAAAGGTCCGCGCTGAAATGGACGAGCTCATGGTGACGTAGCTACAGACCGAGCACGCCGAAGCCATGTGGGCAGAGCTCCGCGGTGAAAAGACCAAGTCCAAGTGCGTCAAGTCCAAGATCTGACGGAAGTGCGGGTGCCGGTGAGTGGGTACCCTTCACGGGTTCCAGATTAGCACATGCTTCTGGAACATGGACAACAACATGAGGGTTTTGAGAGTTGGGATGCTGGACTCGGGAATCATTGATGCCCCAATAGCCCTTGGCTCTGGTAGAATGGCCACCCTACACCCTAACCCCCCCCCCAAATAGCCCTTTGTTTTGGGGCCCCACCTGAGTGGTTCATGGTTCCGACTTCCGTTACGACTCCTTCCGCACCGTCGGGTTTAATGTACGCTGTGGGGAACCACCTCAGGTGCTCAACACACCATGTGTTTGTGGGTGTGGCATATGATCTGCAAGTGTCCTCCTTTTCAACCACCCCCAACTGATCAGCAGGTCGTTCTTGGACACAGGTACGGAGCCATGTTCGGAGTGACTTCGGTGAACGCGAAACAACATCAAAAGAGCCCAGAAAAAGGCAGAACGGAAACCTAAGAGCGATGGCCTCCAAGCTACTAGCGATGGGTGAATGCTAAACCCCAAGATTCTCATCAAAAACATCTTCCGAAACGTCGCGGTTCAGCAGTTCTTCTCGTCTCTGTCCGACCCCAAGTGCCGAAACGTCGGAGCCCTTCGCCCCCTGGACCCTCGTCGCGTCGACTGAGGATCCCACTGAGATGGCCAAGCCCAAGAGTGCCATGCTCTTCACCGACACGACCAGGTCCAAGTGTGCAAAGTCCAAAACCAAGACGCACGACTTGAAGCGGACCATGCCTCAGTGCTACTGCGAAGATCGGTGGTGGGCCCGTTGCTTTTCTTTGGAAAGACAAAGCGGCATAGCCTTTGAAGCATTCAGTTTGGGATCTGGTGCGATGGCTGGACAGGTGACTTCTGGACAACACAGCAAGTAGAAACACGGTACCCGGATGCTCCGTGAACGACGCCCCCCATCCTGGTCCCTCAAGACCAGTATTCCCCTCCTCGAGTCTGGGTACTATCCAAAAACACTCATGGAAATTGTTTTGCTCAATACATCTTGAAGGACGCGTCGAAATCCCTTCTGCTATGCCTTGAACCCCGTCTTGTCTCTGAAGAGCAAGAATTCCAAAAAACCTCCACTCGCCCTTGACCCATCTCCATCCTCAATCTCCACCACTAGGAACCAGGACGCTACGAAGCCTCCCTCGGTACCGCCTTCCACCCACTCTTCCGCTACTGCGCCCGGATGGTCGACGAGGCGCCCAACGGGAACAACGGGGAGTCGGCACGGCCGGGTGAACGCACGGACAGTGTGGAGCCCAAGTGGGAGATCTCCACCATGAAGAGCGGGAAGCCCAAACGACTCATGGAACGCATGGAAAGTCCTGCGCGTTTGGCGGCGGACTTGGCGTTGTTGTTTGTGCGGAGGAAGGCGGAAGGTTGAAGGAATGGAGGTCCCAAGGAAGGGATGGGAGAGTTCATAGCTTTGTTCCATGTTAGAGGAATTCTCGACAACATTCCAGGAGTGGTTTGGTGGAGATAGTGAAGTCACCAGCTTACAATCAAAGCCTTGGGATAAGAAACCCATCTGGAGTCCGCAAAAGCAAAACGCCGTTTGGAGTCTGCAACACCCAACATAGAAATCTGGGTTTCCTCAGTCCCAATCCGAAACACATGATGCTTGGAATCCAATATGGCACCAGCTTGAAATCCAAACAAGTGGCGGGCGGCGAGTTTCTTCCATCAACAGTTTCTGCTTGTGACTGGGGGCGCTGGTCACACCCCAGTCACCAGCGCTCCGATTCGGTTCCCTCTCCTGGGCCCGAGCGTGCAAAGTCCACCACGGAGAGCGACAGCACGTCGGCGCGCGTGAGCACGTCGATGCCGCCGCCCACCGTGCCGTCCGAGGAGGTGGAGAGGCTCGAAGGCCATCCTGGGACGACCGGCCGGGCCCAAACGGAGTGGAAGAACCAGACGTCGCTGCGAGTTCGCCCTCGGACGCGAACCGAACCGGGCGACCCTGGCCGCTCCGACGAACGGAGCAGATCGGCGACGTTCGGGAACGCGTCCGATCGCTCCGTTCGTCGTGATGCCCTTTGCTCCGTTCGTAGCTTCTTGTTACTCGTCGTAAGGTCAGCGACGTTCGTAGCGTCCTTGCTCCGAGTGCCGGAAAACTTCACATAGATATGTCACATGGAGCTCTTCTTTTTTTTGATGGACAGTTGTGAGAACAATGACAATAGAAAGGTCTTGGAAAAATACAGGTTCGATGGATATATTTCCTGGGACCTCTATAAACAGATCTGCAAGGTTTCCTTGGAATTGGCCACGAACCAAATACGCAGCTATACTCGAACATCTCCAAGCGTCGTGCATTTCCTGAGATGAGCATCAGCAAGTCCAAGTGAGCAAATCCCCTGATCGGCAAGAAGGATCCTAAGGACGAGTAGCCAAGGGCAAAGGTCGGCAAATCAAGTCGAGCAAACCATCGAGGGAACAGCACAAATCCAATGCTTGAGAAGTCCAGCACGAACAAGGCCCTGACTCCTTCTTTGGCCTTTGCCCTCATAGGCAGGCTTGAGCCTAAGGTCACGCAATCCAGGACCAAAGGTGGCAAGCCGATATAAACCTTACCAAACGCTGACAGCAAGAAAGCAGAGTGAGCACGCGTGTGTGGGGACATGAAGAAGTCCAGTTGCAAGAAGTCAAAGAGTGGCACGGGTGAAGCAATGTATGCGAACGCGTGCAAAAATGCCGTGAGTTCCAGTTTCACCAAGTCCACAACCAAGATCGCAAAGTCGGCTCGCACAAGGCTCCGCACCGAGATCAATGGTTCCAAATGAGTAAAGTCTGAAGTGAACAGAAGCACGCCCACGCGAAGGAGTCCCAGAGCCAAGGCCAAGAATGCCAGCTGTGACATGCTTTGCAGTGGAATGGAGAAGTTGATGTGAGCCAATCCCAACACTGGCAATGGAAGTTCGATGCAACCCACACTGCGAGGAGACATCAAAGATTCAGTATGAGCCAAATCAAAGACCAACATCGCGAGTCCCAATCGAGCCATGGAGCGCATCAAGAGCGAACTGCCCACAAAGAGTCTATCCACGACCAAGAGTGACGCGACCGTGGTGGCTTTGCTGTTGCTGCCGATGTAGGACACGATGAAGCCCAGTTGAGCAAAGGCTCGCAAGAACGTGGGGCTGTCCAAATGCAAGAAGTCCAGAACCAACAAAGCGAGTTCAGACTGGCTGAAGCATCGAGCAGATGATGGAAAGCCTGAGATCATGGAGTCGGCGATGAAGATGGCAAAGCCAAATCTGGCACAACTTCGCGCCAGCAAAGGAGACTCGAGGTGCACAAGGTCCAGTGCCAAAAGCGTGAAGTCCACCTTGCTCAGGCCCAAGATGGAAGCCAAGCTGGCCAAGCAAGCGTAGTTTTGCAAGAATGCCGATGGGCCTGACGTAGCAAAATCCACAACAAACAGCACTGGTGCGAGATGCACAAAGCTCTTGAGCAACGAGGTGGAGTCAAAGCCGGTGAAGTCGGTGATGAAGGCGGCCAAACCGAGGTAAGCGTAACTTTGCAAGAAAGCCATGGAGCCAAAAGCCACATAGTCCAAAGTTGGCAACATGGAGTCCATGCAAGCCATACCCAAGACTGACAGGAAACTGTTTGATCTCACAGAACTGTGTGGTGGCAGAAAGGATCCCACTACACCAGCCTTTAGTATGAAAAGTGCCAGTTCGAGACGTGCATGACTTTGCGCCAAAAGCGGGAAGCCCAAATGCTTTGCGCCGAAGACCGAAAGCACCACGCCGGAGCTCGCATCATTGTTGGCGGATGTGGTGGACTCTGATTGGCTGAGGTCTGCGGTCGACACGAAGCTTCCCATTCGTGACATGCCCAGTGCAAACATGCTGAAGTTTGATCGTTTGAGGCATCGCAAGGACATGAACGAGCCGACGGCTGCGAAGCCCACAGTCAACACCAGCACGTCCAATCGTGCAAGTGATCGCAAGGACAAGGGGAAGCCCAAGCGACAGCGGCCAATCACTGAGAGTTCATAGCCGATCTCACTTTTCATGACCCCCGTGGCCAAGAGGGCGGAACCAGTTCACACAGAGGACCGTGCCAACGAGGAGAAGTCCAAGGCCACGAAGTCCACGATGAAGACCGACAAGTCCAGCTGTGCAAGGCTTTGGATCGACATCAATGAGCTCATCTGAAGGGCGTCAAGGACCAACGAGGCCGAGCCCATGCGGAGCAGGCCGAAGACGAAGGCCGGCAAGCCCAGACATGCGAATCCCCGCAAAAGCGACGAGAAGTCCATGGAGGTGAAGCTGAGAGCTGACAAAGAGAGACCCAGCTGTGCGAAGCTGCGAGTCAGAAGCGAGGAGCCTGAGGCTGCACCATCACATGCCAAGGGACAAAATCCCAAACGAAGAGAACCCAAGGCCAAAAGTGTGAAGTTGATATGAGCAAGTTGCTGCAAAAGCATGAAGGATTCCAAATGCGCCAATTGAGCTGTCAAGATCGAAGGTGCCAAACAAGCGAGGCTTTGTGGAGACATCAACAGGCCCAAGTGATTGACACCCACTGCTGGCAAAGCATTGGTCAAGACGCCATAACATTGAATTGACACGAACGAGCTCATGGTGACCAGTCGATTGGAGAATTGGTTGCCCAAGCAACAAACGCCGCTGAGTGGAAGCACCAAGTCCAAGTGTGCCGTGGATCGGATGAAAAAGGAAGGCTCGAAGTGAACGAAGCTGAAGGCCAAGACCGTGAGGCTGACGCGAACAAAGCTTTGAACCAAAAGCAAAGAGTCCAAAGATGCGAGGTCCAGCACCAAGAGTGACGAAGCCAGTTGAACCAGTCCGCAGATGGACAAGCTGAAACCCATCTAGGCCAAACTTCGAAGCGAGGTCGAGAAGCCTAGTTGCCCTGCGCTGGAAGCCAAGACTGCGGAACCCATGCAAGCAAAGGATCGAAGGAACGTTGCAAGTCCCAAGTGTAAAAAGTCGAAAGCTGAAGGAACCAAGCCTAAACAAGCAGGACTTCTGGCCAAAGGTAAGCTGCCCAGTGGACTGAGGTCCATCACCAGGACCGTGAAGTCTACGCGGACGCTTCCGAAGACCAGCGCCGCGAAGCCCAGGCGAGCGAAGGATCTCAAAGGCGTGAAGGAGTCTAAGTGTGTCAACTGCAAGACGAAGGTCACCGGATCGATGCAAACGAAGCTCCGGACGAACACCAAGAAGTCTAAGTGCAAGAAGTCCAAGACCAACGAAGACAATCCCGTTCGAGTGCAGCCTGAGGAGAACAGGATCAAGCCCAATTAAGCATGGCCTCTTGCCGATAAGGAGAAGTCCATCATGAAGCGATAATCGAAGGCTAAGACCGTGAGATCCGGTTGCCCAAAGCTCCGCGACAGAATGGGGAAGCCGAGAAGCCCAGAGTTTAAGGCCAACACCAGGAATCCCAGGCGAGCAATGGATCTCAACAACATCAAGAAGTCTAAATGGCTGTAGTTGATGACTAAGATCTTTCCATCAAATCGCACGTCTCCGCACACAGGAAGGCACAAGCCCAACCGAACATGACCGCGGATGGGCAACAAGGAACCTAAGTGGGTGGCATCGAAAATCAGCATGGCCAAACCCATGTAGGCAAAGGTCCTGATGAACAGCGTGAACGCAATATGGACCAAGTCAAAGACGGATAAGCTACTTCCAGGGTGGATCATGCTATGCACCAACGACAAGAAATCAAGTGCTGCAGCGTCCAAAACCAAAGCGATGAAGCTAAGACATGTCAGTCCAAAGATCGAAGGCATGAAATCAACTCGTGCAGAGCTTCGCATAAATAGGAAGGACGCCATCTGGCTGAGATCACGTGCAAAAAACACGAGCTCCAAATGTGCAATGCTGCGGAGCAGCAGCAACGGTCCCAAGAAGGTGAAATCCAGAGTGAAAGGGAAGGAACCCATACATGCTTGCCCGCAAGCCGACGGCATACTGGCCATCCTCACGAAGCCTTGCAAGAAGACAGGCAAGTTCATATGTGAGAACTCCATGATCAAAGCTACCAAGTCCAAGTGAGCAAGGCTTCGTACTAATGATGCAAAGCCAAGCCTGCCGGACTCCATCACCAATGACACAAGTCCCATCCTTACGAAGGATCTGGCCAGCGAGGAGAAGCCAAGCACTGCAGAGTCCAGGGCCAACAGAATGAACCCGAAAGAGGCCAAGCCCAAGAGCAAAACTACTGAGCCCAAGCGTGCCATGGATCGGGTCGATGAGGCCAACTCCACTTTTCCGAATTGGAGTATGAAGACTGGCAAGCCCAAGCGAGCAAGAGAGCGGAGGAAGAGCGCCGAGCCAGAGAGGGAAGAATCCAAGACCAAAGGATGAAAGTCTAAGCGTACCGCGCCGAAGATCGAGACCGCGGAGTCTAAGGTGAAGAAGCTCGTGACGGGGAGCGTGTCACTCTTGGTCTGAGGATAGATGGACAAAGCGGGTCCGGAGCAGGTAGAGGCCCGTGAAGGCATAGGCCTTGGTGATCAGGTTTGTTTTTCCCACTTCGACAGTGGGATGTACAGCCGAAACAAGAAGAAAAAAAAACAAACAAACAAACGAACCACAGTGAACAAAACAAAAATATAACATGTGTCTGTAAACAAGTGTGTGAAATTCGAAGAGGAAGAGGAAGAGGTATTTCGGGTGAGACCGGTCTCCCATGGCCCCAAGGTCCTAGAATCCCATTGTGTCGCAAGGACATTTGGAACAACTCGAACCGACGGGTCAGGGAAACTGGTCGCTTCGAAACCTGGCCGTCACGGCCAGGTCAGATCCCCGAACCTGGGAACCTTTTGAACCCTTCGCAACGGAGCGAACCATGCGCTTCCCCCACGTTTTTCCAGGTACCGAAGGCCCCCCATGGGCGCGTCGAAGGTTTGCGCCCTCCCCGTCCCACGGAACATCCTTGGGGTCGCCCAGTCGCAAGTCGAGACTGGCAAACTCATAGGTGAAAAACACCAAGCCGATGTGGCTGAAGGAGCGCAGGGACCTCAGCGTCTGAGCTTCCGGAAGGAGCGTCCACGGAGCTTCCGGGTCCTACCCCCAAGGAGGTTAAAGGATGCCAAGGCACCCCCCCCTTCTGGGGCGTAGCGGTGGCCTCCAACCTACTAGCAATGGCCTCCAACCCTCCAGCCTAATAGGGATGGCTTCCAACCTACTAGCGATGGCCTCCACCCAAACGAGAGAACATCAAAGAAGTTCTTTGCTCCCGTTTGTTTGCTCCACTTGCGGCCACCGTGTAATGGACCGGGTGGAACACCATGGTAAGGTATTTTTGTCAGAATGTTGGGCATATCACATTACCTGGGCCCAGTGGATGATGATGATGGATTAAAGGCTTTAATATTATTATAGTTATAGTCATAGTATGTCATAGTGATGTTCTTGTTTACTGAATCATGTGGCGTTCTGATTCTCAAGGGGCTCCCAATCAAGTGCTGCTCTTCTTTGACCGACCAGGACCACCGATTGCCCAACCTTTTGAGTGGAGCATGAGGGCCGGTCGACAAAAGAATGGGAGGCTTTCCTTGCCCCAAGCGTCCATTGGATACAACGCAACGTCGGGTCTTTGATTTTGACATGAACGCCAGTCGCGTGGTTTGAGAAGGCCCATGTTTCGTCGTTTTCAGAACGCAGTGCCCTGGTCGTCCGCAGTTGATCGCCACGTGGCGCCGCCAGTTGTGGCCGGTTGAGCAAACACGACCGACCCAAACGAGGAGAAAACCGCGGGAAAACAACACGACCTTCGCCAAATCGACCGTCCAAGGCACAAGAGGAAGCCGAGTTGTAAATAATCAATGAGTGGTGCCGAGGAGTCAAAGCAAGTGGCACCTGTGAAGCAAAGATAGATCCGTCGACATGGGGGTTTGGTTTGGTCCCCTTTGTTCGGGGCACAGAAGGATGAATTAAAAACAATGTGTTCCGGGTCTTCACACGGTTGAATCGACCACCTGGTCATTCGGTGAGCTACATGGGCGCCCGATAGAGCACTGCGAAACGAGCCCCGACCGTGAGCTCCTCCTATGTCGAACCAATCGCGACCGTGATCCGTTTCCATTCGTTTTCCTGAACATCAAAAAAGGGAAAGACCAACCACGTGCGATTTCAGGTCCGGTTCTCCGAAAAGGATTTTTGGAGCGGTCCACGCCGAAACGCGAGATCGGCCAGCGAGGGTGGAATCGGAAAGGGCTCAACTGGCTGGTTCATCTGGTTTCCCTGCGCTTAACGAGTCGAATCCCATCACCGGAAAGCCAAACAACAAACACGACCGTGCGCACGAGATCGCTGGTTCTTCCGTGACATCTTCCGACATGCGACTGCTGCAAGGAAATCCACCCTGTCTGCGTGCGAAGAAATGGGGCGAATTGGCTTGCCAAGGGGCGACGGTTGGGCTTCATTCCCACAAGCTGTAGGACTTCAACGGAACTCCAACCACACCTTCTTCCCCGAAAGTGAGCTGACTCCGAACAATGCGAATGATCTTACCACCACGTCTGTGGACCGTGTTTGGCCGGGCGCGTGAACCCCGGGGCCCCGGGCCGGAGAGGAACATGGCCGGGCCCACGCGTGAAGCTTGACGGATCGGCGAGAAGGATGCCACGTGGACGAGGCCCAAGGCGAAGACCTCGCCGCTTTCGAACGGATCCAGACGGTCATCGCTCGAAACCGGTCGGTTCCACGTTCCACTGGGTCGTTCAGTCCGGTCATCGCGTTTGGAAGGGAAAGACGGTCGCCGATGTCGGAGGTCGCCGATGTCGGAGGTCGCCGACTGCTGTGATGGACGCAGGTGCCGGAAGGGTTGATTGAAAGGGGCCGCCTGTGAAGGGGCGAACTGCTCTCGGTGATGAAGTCTGGCTGCAGGCTGCACGCTAGATCCTACTTTGCTTGAATAAACTTTGCCAAAGGAATCTAGTCTTCAGGACTCACATTCCGCATCCATCTTACTTTCTGGCAACTGATCTTCATGAAGACTGTCATGTCGATACATCTTTTAAAGGCACCTGAACCACCCATGAGCTCATTTTTCCCGCACTCCCCCCCCAAAAGTGTCGTGTCCCTTGTCGTGTCCCTCTGGCCCTTACTTTCCACCAAGCTGCCGCTGAAGCCAGGCGTGCAAAGCTGTGCGAGGACAAGGCAAAGCCCAATGAGGTGGAATCCAAAACCAAAGGCGTCGAGCCCAGGTGAACCAGTCCGCACGCCAACGCCAGCGAGTCCAGTCGATTGAAGAGGTGCAGTAAAATGGCCGGTCCCACTTTGGAGTGGTCATACACGGGCAACAGCGATTCCACATGTACGAGGGAGTGTGAGGATGCCGGCAAGTCACAACTGACAAGGTCAAAGGCTGAGATTGAGGAATCAGTGCAAGCAAAGGACCGGAGAAGCAATGAGGAACCAGGGCTGCAACTGTCTAGAACGGACAAGGTTGAGTCCAGAGTTGCCCAGGTGAGAGCCGACATGATCAAGCCAAGTCTTGCAAAAGACCTCAACAACAAGGAGAGGCCCAGGTGTCCCGCGCATGTGATGAACATCAGCAAGTCTACCCAAGCAAAGGAGCGCAAGAACAGCAACAAGGCCAAGCTAGTTCCATCCAAGATGAAGATTGAGGGCCCACAGCAACCAAAGCTATGTGCCAACAGCGGCAAGCCCAAAGAGACCATGTCTGACACCAAGAGTGTGAAACCAAGCTGAGTGCAGCCTGAAGCCAGCAAGGTGAGCTCCAAGCAAACGTAACTCCTGGCCACGCTGTGGGCCGATCGCTGCTCAGGGAGCGACTGTTTCGTACCGTGCTAGAAACCGGCTGCGATTTTTAGAAGCTACGAACGTAACAAGGGCATTCCGTTCGTGGCTCGAAACGCGTGATTGGTCCTCGGCTGGCTCCATGTTCGGGCGTGTT